CCACTCCTACTTAGAAGCAAATAGACTATTATTTTGGAGGGCAGGGGACGGATGCAGACACTGTGTGTGTAGAGGTAGGCACGCTAGCTTCTCAGATCACTCCCTGGAGCCCCAAACCATGTTCAAGCCACTGTCTCATTTGTACCTTCTATTTGTTGTACAGCAGCCTTTTCAAATCAAGAACACAGCAAACAAAGCTCCTGATACTTCCCTCCCAATCCCTTCCCAATTCCCTGTATTTTGATAAACAGCAGGCCCTAAACTCAGGAGCGGCCTTTGAGTAGTTGCGTTCCCTTGTCTGACACCGTATAGACTCAGTGTTGGTTCTGTCCACGTGAGCACCGTGCCGAGCCGCACATGCCACCTTCTGTCTGAAATGTGAAGCATCCACTCTAACCCCTGACCTCTGTAGAGTCAACCAGTAAAATGTAAAGTAGACTGTGTCAACTTCCCATGGCTCTTGAAATAAAATTAACAATGTTCTCTATGGCTGTCTACCATCCTTTCCAACTTCACATCACAGTTGCTACCCTCACGGAGCTCTGGCATCTTTTTAACATCCTGATCCAGGCTCATTCCTGCTTCAGGACCTTGCATCTTTGGTCCTCTGCTCAAAGGATTGAAGAGTAACTATCTGCAATTATTCTGCTCATATTCTGCTCCTCCACTGTCATAAGCTCAATAAAGGCAGAACTGAATGCCCAGTGCCTAGCACAATGCCTGGTACACACAGGATTTCAGTGACAATGCAGTAAAACCCACCTTTTCAAAGTGTGTGATTCTGTGAGTGGAAATTCACAGGACCATTTGGCCGTACCTGTAATCAAGATATAATTCAGGCTCCAAATCTCCTCAGAGAGCCAAGCTTACCTCCAGTCCCTGAAAAATCACTGTTCTGCCTTTTGTCTTTATGGTTTTACCTTTCCCAGAATGTCAATAATTATAACTAAATGAAAGTTATTACCTGTCATTTCCCTCTGACTTTATCTGGAATGTAAGTGATCTCACAATCTAAGCAGTGCTTATTAGCAGCATGTTCCATGTAACAAAGCTGAGACACATGATCTGTTTCCTCCAGTCCAGTGCCTCTCAACCTTCCTAATGCTTTAATACAGTTCCTCATGCTGTGTGGTCCCAACCATAACATTATTTTTATTGCTACTTCATAACTGTAATTTTGCTACTGTTATGAATTATACTGTAAATGTCTGATATGTGGACCCCCAGGGTTGTGATCCACAGGTTGCAACTGGCTGCTCCAGTCCTTAGCATTTTTCTTATCTCCCCAGTCTCCTTCTAATCACAGTGAAGACAATGTTCCTTTTCTAAAATCAGTGTACTTTTAGGACTTCGATGCCATGATTAACTTTCCATGTTTACCCCAAAAGTCTTCCTTGCTCGCTCGAGCCTGGCACAATGTGGGCGACAAGGGCACACTCATCATGAGTAGATGGAACTAACCTTTTCCACAGACTATTCTTTTTGCAACCAGACACTTTCAACATGCCACACACATGGCCAATATGTGACCCAGGCTGGGAGTTCTAGAGCAGACAGCAACTTTTCACTGAGACGTCACTGTTGGAAGACCTTCCCCTGAACCTCCTGTTTAAACAGCCACCCTGGTCCCACCCTCACAGCCACACCACCAAACATTAAGTTATCACCAAACATTAAGTTATTTCTTTGTAGGAAGGCCAAGAACTCTGCTCAGAGATCAACTCCTGCCCTCCCTCCCTCTGCTGCAACTCTCAGCCACCATCTAATTTCACATGCTTCTTTCACTCTTGTCAGGTGTATATTCTCTACTCCAAGCAGGCATTTACAAATGCACTCTAAGGAGGCTCATCTGCATTTGGGAACCATGGCTGGTCTTGGGCAGAAATAGGAGAAAAAACCCTTCAACTCACCTTCAAGAATCATGTGCTGCACTGAGCCGCACAACTGAGGGTCCGGATTTCTAACACCTGCATGCCACATCTGAACCCCTTTGCAACTTACTTTTCCCAGCCTGGCCCACCCGTGCTCATAGAAGCTTCCCATTCCTTCCTCTGATAACTCTGCCATACTTAGTCATTGGTTTCTTTCCTAGCTACATGCACTTCCTACTCTGGCTCCTTTCAACCTGTCCTGTTGCTTTTCAGGCTCTACAGGACACTTCTTTCGAGACTGGTCTATATTAGTAACTCCACTTTCATTTTTAAAAAAAACAACTTCATAGAAAATTATAAAGAACGATCTATAAAACACTTGTAGGCTGTCTAGTTTTGTTAAGTGTTAATGTTTATTACAGCTCTTCTTTTCAGGCTCTAGCTAGGCACCCCTTAGGAGCTAGCTCTCAACCAAGTATATACACACACATAAAAATGTGTGCATATGTTGGTGGTGCCGGGAGTTGAATTTGGGGCTGCACAGATGCTAGCTAAGTGCTTTATCACTGAGCTATGGCCCCAACCCCACCACTATCAGTTTGCCCAATAATCTTAAATTGCAATATCATGAACTTAAGGCAAAGTACCTTCGATCCTCTGCTTTGGTCTGTTTAACATGTGGATGAGTCTGGCTTGCACTCGGGGCTCCCTTCCTACTTGCTTGCTCCCTTTCTACTTGAGGTTTGAGAGCAGTCTTGCTCAGAAAATGGCTCTGGGGAAGAACCTTTTTGAACCTGGAGTCCAAAGTCTGTGCTTTCTGTTGAAAGATGCTATTGCATTTATTGTTATAGGTTTTATTTGTTCTTATGCTAGGCGTGCTTGGAATAACTGAATTAAAGTTGCCAGCTGTCAAATTAGGCCTCTGGCTTGTAGTTCTTGATTTTTGCAGAACACATGGTGTCCGGGGTCCAAGACAAGGCTTCACTGGCTTCTGATCCTGCGTCATGTTTGAATGCCTGTTGTTAGGTCCTCCCTGAAGCATGCTGGGATGGGAACTATGCTTGGCATGTTTTACTTTCTGTTCACCAGCAGGGCATGACTGTACCTTAGTTTCATTTGGTTTTCCACATCTAACCCTGTTAGCCTTTACATCCTGTGTGTCCTTGACCACTGGTTTCTTTGATGTCTGAGTCCTATTATGGGCTGGAATGAAGTGAGAGGGAGCTGTCCGTGGCTTTTCTCTTGGCTGTGCAGAATCTGCAGCTGTAGAGAGTTGCTGTGACTTTGCTGGCTGAGCTCTGGTCTGTGTGTTTCTAACAAACTGCTTGTTAGCTCTGTCTTTCAGAGCAGCATGATTAACTGAACTTTTGCTTAAGGTCTGTTTAGGAGCCAGACTTCTCTGAGTCTGATTAAAAGAGCCAGTGTTTGTCTTTTTTATGGTGCGTGAGTCAAGAGCTGGCTTCTTCGGTTCTAACAAGGTTTGGGGCAAATTCTCTTTGTTCGTCTTGTCTAGAAAGCCATCCAAAGATTGCTTTTCAACATGGGTATTAGCCATGGGATCTGTACATTTAGCATTTCCTTGAAGTGATTCCTGTTGCCTTTTGGTTTTCAGTTTCTCTGTAGAATGGGACCGCCGAGGCCTTCTTGACAGTTCTGTAGTGGACGACACCGCTTTGTGTTGCTGCTGAGTCTGGCTGGACTGTTTATAGCCTGAGTTAGAAGAAAAACAGCTTGACTTGAACCCCTTGCCTGGAGGTTTTGGTGGCTCCAACTCTGGCTTCTGGGACCCTGTGATATTGGCTGGTTTAGTCTGCAGTTTAATGTTGGCGGGTCTTGTAGTTTTGATAGGCAAAGCAGCATGACTGGAAACATCTTTTTTGGGTCCAGGAGTCTGAAAATATATTTAAAAACTCATTACAATAGCTCACTTACTGCCCCTTATGTTCCAAAGAACAACCCTAAATGGCCTGGACAGACACACCCCAGTCTCCTAGCACAACAGCCTATAGTAGGTTTCTGTGTAAGTATAGCCCCTGCTATACTTACACAGACACACCAAACACTCCTTTCCCTTTAGATCCTTGCCTAGAAGATGTCTTAATCCTGGAAGTTAGTGCCATCAGTGAGCATTGGGGGGTGGGGGTGGGGTAAAGACAGGAGGGAGAGAACATTTCAACATGAGAGAGTCTTACATACCCTTTCTCCTTCCCCTTTCAACAGTCAAAACCCAGAAAAACAAAAGGAAATAAAAAAGTTTCTGAGGTCACAATGTGAAGTCAAGATAGAATTAGTTCTTCTATAGAAAATAGATTTCTTTCATACAATATATTCTGATCATAGTTTCTCTGCCTCAATTCCTCCCAGATCCTCCCCTGCTGGATTTGGGGGGATGGGGATGGAGGAAGTAAGGAGGGGAGGGAGGGCTTCCCAGGCACTGGGAGAAGAGAGTGGAGGACATACAAAGTCATCAAGAGGAGGGAGTGAGCCAGACATGATGGTCAGATGAATCTCAAGCTGACTGCCTAGCAATCAGGTCTGTTAGGTGGCTGACTCTCTAGATAGAGTTAGGCAACCAGGTGCTTCTTTATTTATACAAGCTTCACAGAACAAAGACAGACTAATGGTTATCCAAGTGGTACAGAGTGTGTGTTCGATTTTTCATTACATGTTCAGGGTTGCAAGTTCAGTTACAATACAAACAGAAGAGACTTTGTTATTATTAGACCTATAACTCTAACTTAAAGAATCTAAAGAATGTCTCCTCTAAAGCAAACACATTTAACATACAACAGTCTGCTTTTAGGCTGGGAATGTTTGCAGAATGACAGCACTCCAGACAAACAGAAAATTTCCAAACCGGTCTTTTTATGAATAGCAAATACCAACACCAAATTTCTTTTACTATATGTATTATCATCTATGCTATAAAGTAGGAAAAGTGTATTTTAGTCACTCTATCTTATTTACTCAGTTCTATTTCTTCAGGAGTGTACCCTGTACAACCCCCTATCTTTAAACCACATTTTAGAGACCTCTAAGCCTATAATAAAAGAGGCCTTGAATTGGTAACCTATTCTCCTGGCCAGTCAGTGTTTGCCAATTGTCTCTGTTTACCCTGCACCAATTACGCTGATTGAGTTAATTCAGGGACAGAATAACCCAAGAAGATTCCTTGATAATGGTCTCATCTAGCTATGTGCTTATTTGTGCTTAATGATCTCCAGGGCATAAGAAAGACTTCCAAATAGTGCTCAGATAAAGTTAATTTTAGGATTTTCTTAAAAAGACTCAGACATAATTTTTCTCAGGAAAAGACATAAATTGAATTGTAATGCAGAAAGTCCCCAATAATGAAATATGCAGAGACCAGGACTCATCAGTTAGAGATAGAAGGACAGCGATTACATCAATCCACTCAGTTTTGCTAGAACTGTGTTAAGCAGCAATGCTGGCTTCATGACTCTGCTTCCAGTGACTATGGCTATGCCATTTCCCATCTCTCTTCCCATCCAAATCTTGACCCTTTCTTTTGTTAGAAAACAAACAGGCATCTAAAAATATTAATAAAATAAGATAAATAAAAAATGAACTAACTAGAATAGGACAAAACAAACACGAAAAAAGCCAAAGAAAACACCCAAGAAACAGATTTAGATAAAGATACACACACAGATATTTTTTTAGATTAGTAAGTACCTTGGTTAGTTTGTATTGTTAACTTGAACTTGAGAAGAGAAAACATCAGTTGAAAAACTGTCCAAATTAGATTGACCCGAGCCATGTCTGTGAGATTGTCTTGACTGATATGGGATGGACCAGTCCACCATAGGTAGTACTAATCCCTATGTAGGTGGTTGGTCCTGGGTGGCAGGAGAAAGCTAGCTAGCACTCTGGAGGTAGAGGCAGGTGGATCTCTGAGTTCAAAGCTAGCCTCCTTAACCAAAATGAGAGAGACAGACAGACAGACAGACAGAGACAGAGAAAGAGGGGTGGGGGAAGGACAGAAAAGGAAAGAAGCTAACTGAGCATGATCCTGGGAGTGAAAATGTCTAAATGTCTGTTTTTCTGGCCTCTATTTCTTATACATTTAATAAATTTGAGATTTGATTAATATGCCATAAAATTTACTGTTTTAAAGCCTCCAAATTCAATGGGTTTTAGAATGTTTACAAGTTGTCCAACCATTCCCTCAGAATGCCATACATCTTATCACCCAGAAAGAGAATTCAGTAGTTGCTCTCCCTCTCCCTTTCTCCATAGGTCTCAGCAACCACTGCGCTATTTCCCCCCACACCTATGCAGCTGGAGCTCTTGAATAGGTGGAATCATTGTGTGTTTTGTGTGGATGTGTCTGGCTTGTCTCGTTTCTCTTCTAGCATAACATTCTTAAGACTCACTCGTGTTGTACCACGTATCAGCGCTTTACTTTTGTTCTGACAGATTCTCATGTAGGCCAGGCTACCCTTGAACTTGATAAGCAGTCAAGGATGTCCTTACACTGTTAATCCTCCCACTTCCTTCTCCAGAGTGCTAGGATTACAGGCGTGTGCTATCACGCCTAGCTTCCGTGATGCTGGGGTCAGACTCAGAGCTTTCTGCATGCCGGGCAGGCAGTCCACCAAGTGAGCTGCACCTTCAGCCCAGTACTTCATTATTTAAAATAAAAAAATGTAAAGAAGCTTCCTTTTGGAGAAGTTTTATGCTCTTACAAAACAAAAATGAGCATGAAGTACAGATGGTTCCCCTAAACCTTATTCCCAAATATGCACTCCATTACTTGCTTAGGGTTGAATAACATTACATATTCATCCATCAGCTATACATATTCATCCATTAGTCAATGAACATTTGGGCTACTTCCGCATTTGGGGGTTTATAAATACATTACTATGAATATTTGTGTACAGTTTTTATGTGAGCATATGTTTTCAATTTTAGGGTATATATCTACAGAATTTCAGTATCATTTGGTAAATCTATGCTTACCTTTTGGGAAACTATAAAAGTTATGTATGAGGATTCCACTTTTTCTACATCCTTCCCAACACTATCTGTCTTTGTGACTATAGCTATTATAGTAAGTATGATGTATTTTTTTCGCAATTTTTTAGTTTGTTTTGTTCTTGTTTTTGGTGTGTGTTTTCCTGGGGATTGAACCTAGAGCCTGGTGCATGCCAGGTAAGCATGTTTCTACTGATCTATATTCCCCAGACTTATTTTCACTTTATATTTTGAGACAGGGTCTTTCCAGATTGCCCAGCCTGACCTTGAATCACCCTGCTCTTAGCCTCCCCGTATCAGGAATTATAAGCCTGTTCTAGCAGGCCTGCCTCTTACTATCATTCTGATTTGTGTTTTCCCAATGGTTAATAATATTGAACATCTCTTCTTGTCTTTAACATCTTTTGAGAAATGTCTACTCAGACTCTGCCCATTTCAGAACTGAGTCATTTGTCTTTTAATTGTTTGAGCTGAAAGAGTCATACATATGTCCTGGATACTAGATCCTCATAAGATATGTGATTTGCAAATGTTTCTTTTGGACATTTTTCATATCTTGATTTTAGATCAGTTTGATCTATAAGTACTATAAGTCGTAGAACTAGTCATGCAGTTTCAAGCCCTCCAGTGACAGACAAAAGCTATACTTAAAAGAGAACATTAGAGCTGGGAGCAGGGCAGGGAGGGGGTTAGAAGCTGAGTTAAGGTTAGAACTTCAGTTTCTGACTCTCAGAACAGACACATGAAGCTGAAAAACAAAATAAAACAATAAACATACAAGAAGGCATAATTGCTTTAATCCAAATTGACTTTCACTCACTCTGAGCATCTGAGGTAGAAGGGAAAAATTTCACAAAGGAGTTAAGGAGGGCTTGAACCAAGAGAGATTTATTTAAGGTTGACTAGAAAAGGCACTTTGCTAGAATCTAGGGGATGACGCTGAGGCCCCTTAGTAGGAAAGATATAAGACACGAAAATAATGACACAATGAAAGAGAGGCCATCATAAGGCTAGGAAAAATAATGTATGTCTTATCAGTGGCTTTATATACTCCCTGAATAATTTCTAAAAACTCTTTAAGTAGCCCATGTAGTCAATATAATGTATTACTAGAAGGAGACAGGACTTGACTGTTACTGGTTGTATAATTAGGCCACGGACTTAATCTCTTTGCATCTCATTTCTCCTATATATAAATGGGCACAAGAGCACTAATAGTAGTAATATCTTTTTTTTTTTTTTTTTTTTTTTTTTTCTAGAATCTATTTTTTCTATCTTATGTCCTTGGGTTTCACAAGATAGTCTTGATTTAAACTTCTTGGTCAAGTACTTTATTTTATTCCAAAAGCATTCTGGTTTGAAGGTTAAGTCATACAACATAGGGCTATTTACTTACATATTTAGAAGGTGGTGGTTTAGGGCAGATATTCTTGGCTTTTAGATAAGGCCTATGAAAGATAAAAATAAAATTAATCCTTGTTACAGAAGAATCAGAAGAGCTTAGAAAGAATAGTGATTAAAACATTATCATTAGGATTTTAAACCAACAGACTTTCTGTATAAGGTAAGAAAAATTCAAAATTATTATTTAATAAGAAGTATCCTCACTGTTCCTTCCTTGGCCCTGTATCCCTCACCCCAAAGATCACAGCTGCTCTTACCAATTCCTTTTGTGATTTTTCTTTTCAGGCTATCTTATACACAAATGTAGCATTCTAATACCACTAATGAAATGTATGTGGCCTCTTCATAGTCTTACAGTCTTATTTAGGAGTCAACTCTTGGATACTGAGGGCCAGCGTGGGCAAGAAGACAACCAATGGCTTTGTTAAGAAACTTCCTTGCTGTATGTATTTTTCGTGTTTTTCAGTGGTAGAGGGGGGTTGCAATATAACCAACTCTCCAGATCATGGGTTCCACATTTATGATTTTAACCAATCTCTGATTAAAGAAAGATGAAAAACAAAACTGTATTCCTACTGAACTATTTTCCACGGCATTATATTGTACTGGGAATCATAAGCAGCTTAAAGATGATTTCAAGTCTATAAAAGGATATGCATAGGTTACATGTAAACACTAGTATTTCATGGAAGGGACTGGACCTTCTGCTGATTCTGGTACCTGTGAGGACATAACCTGAAGCTGAAATCTACCTAGTGAAACAAAAGGAAAGATAGAACAGAGCACAAGTTAGAAGGACTCAGTCTCTATGGACCCAAACCCAAGAGTCTTTGACGAGCATAAGCCATGGGAGGGCAGGGATGCTTTTAACTTAGGAAGTTCTGTATCTTTATTCGTTGAGTGATTGACAGGCCTGGGGAACATATATCAGTGCTAGAGTGCTTGTTGTGTAGCACGTGACAGGCCCAGGTTCCAGTCACAGGAGAGGAGAGGGAAGGAGACAGACATCATAGTAACTAAATGAATCTTTGTTGAGGAAATGATTTTGGTTCATTTCATCAAGGAAGTAGAGAGGTGAGGAAAAGCCCAAGGTAAAATTATGTGGGCTAGGAAGACAGTTCAGAGGAAGAGCACTTGCTTAGTTCAGATCTCCAGCAGCCACAAAAAGATCCGGCATGGTGAGTGTGCCTATAGCCTTGGGGTCTAGGGGGCAGAGGTGAGTATATCAAAGAAGAGTGCTGGCCAGCCCTTAACCTAAACACTGAGCTACAGGTTCAGTGAGAGATCCTGTCTTTTGTTTGTCTGTTTTTTGTTTTTGTTTATCGATACAGGGTTTCTCTGTGTAGTCCTGGCTATCCAGGACTCACTTTGTACACCAGGCTGGCCTTGAACTCACAGCAACACCCCCACCCCCACCCCAACACACATACCTCTGCCTCCCCGAGTGCTGGGATTAAAGGTGTGTGCCACCAAGCCCATGGAGAGATCCCGTCTTAAGAGAATAACGTGGAGAGTGATGGCTATCCAGCATCCCCTCTGGCATACACACATAGACCTGAGCCATCCAAATGGGAAGAAACTACGCCTAGGCTAAGCAAGAGGGAGAAATACCAGGACAACAATGGTGCGGTGCTGACAGAAGGGAAGGGTAAAGCGGTTAGGTTCTGTCCACCTCAAACATACAAGAGAAGATCGAAGGATACCTCCAAGCAGGAGGAGGTTGGTGTGCCACTACTGTGGACAGCTCCCCATCTTGGTAAGCAAACACCAGAATCAGTGTCCTCAAACCAGAATCAGTGTCCTCCAATTCCTTGATCAAAGACTGCACAAAGGAGTTAAGGAGGGCTTGAACCAAGAGAGATTTATTCAAGGTTGACTAGAAAAGGCACTTTGCTAGACTCTTGGGGATGACGCTGAGGCCCCTTAGTAGGAAAGATTTTATATAATAATAATAATAATAATAATAATAATAATAATAATAGTTATATATTATAATGCATAATATATGATTATTATATATATATTATTAATATATATATATATTCCCTGTGCTAGGATGCAAACCCTTCCTGAATCTGAAACCACAAGCCCGGGTTCTTACCGTTGTTTCTGCCAGGTATTTGGCCACAAGAAGGAAAACAAGAACTAATATGGACCATTTTCCTTTGGCAAGCTATTATTTGCAGCCAAAGCCAGCCTAACCGACACAGAGCTGCACAAAGACTTTGCCTCTGACTTGCTTCCCCCTGGTTGTCTAACTGGGAACCAGCTTTCCCAGGAAAAAGAAGGAAGCAGAAAGGCTTCCAAAGATGTAGGTCATACTGTAGACCCTTTCTTCCTCTGAGGACTGTTAGAAACAAAAAATGCTTAAATCTCTGCCAATGAGCAAGACACTGCATAGGTTTTTTGTTCTGTTTTGAAATCATGCCTAGACTGAAATGTTCCTTTTGTTATTACATGCAAGTCAAACAGACTGGAAACCAAAAGGGCTGGTACCTTCACTGCTGTTAGCAACCAGGGCAACAAAACCAGTGTAACTATGGGAAGGCGAACTCACTTGGTGTTCGGGTCCTTCAGCTTTCCCTTGGCTGCCAAGTATGCCTGGAGCTTTTGCCACCGCTCTTCTGTAAAACACGGACATGAATGAATAACAGAAACTTACCAGAAGACCCTTTATGTTCTTAAATATGATGCTTTCCTTTAGCTAATTTGGCCTTGATAAAGTGACCAGTCCTGTTATGATTGCTTTCAAATTAACATCAACACCAACCTGGTATTTGGTGTCAAACTCTTTACAAAGCTGTTTACACTAACACAACAATCCTATGAGGTGTTTTGCTGTTTGGGTAAGTGACATGCTTAAATTAACTCACTAATAGGCAACAAAGCCAGGATTTGAAATCAAGATTTTTTAAAAAATCTTTCATTTAAAAAAAAAAAAAGTGTGCGGGGCTGGAGAGATGGCTCCGAGATTAAGAAAACTCACTGTTCTTCCTAAGGTCCTGAGTTCAATTCCCAGCAACCACATGGTGGCTCAGAACCATCTATAGTAAGATCTGGTGTGTAGGCAGAATGCTGTATAAATAATAAATAAATCTTTTTAAAAAAAAAAAAAAGTGCGCCTAGGGCGGTGTACAGAACAACGAATACAGCCCATGAGCGAGGATAACGCATGCATCTTGAAGATGACACGGGGTGGGGAATAGACTCCAGGTCCCTCACAGAGATCAGGATCCACGTTCCTAAACCTCAGCCCACACTTAATCAAACAACCTCCAGAGAGCGCACATTTTTTATCAGTCAACCTGCAGAGGAGCAGAGACTCGGACTGGGGCAGGAACCGGCCTCCTGACTGCTGTCAAAGCTCGGGCCATCACCAGCAACGCCCGGGTGTCCACGGGCGGCAACGGAGCGTGTCACTCCCCGCCGTGCCCCGGCTCCGGTGTCCTTAACCCAGCTGAGCCCGGGGGAGACTGAGGCAGGCAGGGGGCGGCCTGGCAGCTTTGGCGGGCGGCCGGCGACCACACTTACCCGCGGCAGCGCTGGCAGCGGGGCCGGGCCCCACCATGACTCTACCGCGACAGTTTCTTTCTTCAAAGGGCGCGCCTTGGTCTGGTACGAGAACCCCGCCCCCGCCTGGACGCTCCCATTGGCTTCCGCGACTTTGAAATTCGCCAATAGGAAGACTGAGGGGGCGGGCTAACAGGAAATGGGCTCTTTGCGGTTGGCCACGGGGCCTCCCCGAGCGCTGCGATTGGACAGTCTCCGAGAAGTTCCGCCCAGTGGATAGGTCACTTCCGCAGCGGCGCCTGCGGGCCGGGAGCTGTAGGGTGGGACGGGAGCTGACAGGCTGGCGGGCAAAATAGGCTTTATTGTAGCCAAATTTGGGCTAAGGACACTAGTGACAGTTAGACAACCAGGGGGAAGCAAGTCAGAGGCAAAGTCTTTGTGCAGCTCTGTGTCGGTTAGGCTGGCTTTGGCTGCAAATAATAGCTTGCCAAAGGAAAATGGTCCATATTAGTTCTTGTTTTCCTTCTTGTGGCCAAATACCTGGCAGAAACAACGGTAAGAACCCGGGCTCGTGGTTTCAGCTTCACGACGGGTTTGCATCCTAGCATAGGGAATGTGTGGCCGAGGCTGTTCTTTGCCTCGTTGCGGACAGGAGGCAGAGAGGCGGTGGGTACAGGAAGCGGACAGGGCAAGATAAAGCCCCCATTGACAGCTCTAACGATCTAGCTTTTTTTCAGGTCCCATCTGGAGCCCCTGAGCAGCGCGCAGCAGGATCTGTCCTATCAAAGTTGGACAAGCTAAGCCAACAGAAAGATAAAAGAGCTCCTAGAAAAGAAGGCACGAGAATCAGAAACCTACTCACTCACACATTCAAGAGTCCCATAAAAGCACTAAAAACTCTAGTATGTAGGCAGAGAACCTGTGCAGACCTGTGTGGGTCCTGTGACTGCCTCTTCAGTCTCTGAATTCATACGGGCTTTGCTCAGATGTTTTAGAGGGCCTTGTTCTCTCGGTGTCCTCTGTCCTCTCTGTCTCGCCTGCTCCTGCCTCCACTTCCTGCAGGGTCCCCTGAGCTCTGATGGGAGGAATTTGCTGCAGATCCCTTCTTTAGAGCCGTGTAGAAACCTGGTTTGGTAAAGTCATACTAACTGTAGTGCATTCTGTGAGTGCCTACCAGTTGTTGTGGGGCATTCAAATGGGGCAATGAAGACAACAAATAACAACAACGAAAGGCCCTTCACAATAGTTAAAATCGAAACAACGAACCCATTTCATTGCAAAACCCAAACAAAAAAAATATAACAAAGAAATAAATGTTCAAACTTGTTTTATTTAATTATGATCAATGATAGTGAACTGTTATTGCTGATGGACATGTGACACTGTGGTGTGAGAACAAATCTGTGACCCATAGGAAACACTGGTTACAACCTAGAAAAGAAACTTCAGGTAACAGCGGTGTGGCTGCCATGGTTAAAGTCTTCCCGTGTTTAAGTGCTTGGATTGAGCTACAGATGAGGTTAAATGGCGTAAGATTATCTAGACAGCTTTAAGGACAGGAGGCCAATCATTTTAAATGAGCAACTCGTGGTCATGGTGACAGGGCTCCCATGTATGAAAATGCAGAGCGAGCTTTATGGCTGTGGAAAAAGCATAACGTCTACTCGGCATGGTGGCCGAGAGTAACTACATCTAACTGACTTAGAAGACCCTGCTGCTGAGGCTCCCCATCAAGCTCAGAGAACCTAAGGATGTGCCATAAATAATATGATTATCATAAATATATTTATAAATACATAAATAACTTAAAAAATAACCTTCAGCAGTCTGTCTTCTTCTTGAGGTTTGTTACAGGAGGAGATCATTTTATCCAAATGATCTCACTGGAATAAAACCCACTGAGGTAGGAAAGATGTGGCTGTTGTTCCTTCCTTTTGAAAATGACAGCATTGAGTTCTTATAAATTTATCACACTCAGTCAGCAATTTAGAAGCAGAAGTGCACAGTTAGATTGACGTCATGGCTCTGTGGATTCTCATTCCAGATGCAACTGAGTGTACTTTTTAGTTTTCTTATGCCTTAGTTAACCCATCTGTAATATGGGTAGAGTCTTTTTGATCCTCCTAAGAATGCCTTGAAGAATAATAATTAAAATGATTAGTACTGTGCAAAGTATAGGGTGCTCTTTAAATAACAAATAATATCATATGTCTGGGTTGATTCCATTAGGCTTTGCTCTTCTCTTACAAAGAGGGTAAACATTCATTTAGAATTACGAAGACTCAGCACATGCTGTGCAAGTGACTCAGGGCGAGGAACGTTCCTGTACATGGTACATACAGATGGTCAGCACTTCTCAAGTAAGTAGACTCTTGAAATAGGGCTGCTTTTATGATATCTGGAAGTCTGTCATCGAGGGCAGCCCCCGGGCCAGGTGCACCTGACTTTGTTCTTTTGTGGCAATAAACAGCTCTGGATAGGCAGCTGATGTGAAGTAGTTCTTGGAGCTGACATTTTTCCAGAAGAAAATGAGGTCATTCTCACTACCCATGATAAATTTTGGTATTTCCGGCATCTCCTGTGATAAGCAAAACAAATCTGTTAGTGCACAAGAAGGCATTGGAAAAAAAACTCTGGTATCTGGCCTTCATGAGAAACAGCACTATAGAAGCCTGACTCAGATATGATCTGGGTTCCATCATTTATTCACTCAACAAGCATTTATCTTATGCCTATTTGAGAAATGGTCCAGTCGATTCATAAGAGTAGATTTCTTTAGTTAACTGGAGAGAAATCCAAATGAATCATGAAGACTGTCAATGATACCAGCAACCCCCTCTACCCAGACAAGTGGGGTGAAATACTGCCTGTGTGTATCCTGTCTTTAATGCTGGCACAGAGTACTCTCATCAAATCTAAACTCTAATGATTCCCCTACTTCTAAATATTCTGACCCCTAAGTATTCAAATTAAACACTTCTGAAAACAGTAGAGCACTGAGATGGTGTTTATCTGTACAGTTCAGTTACAGTCTGAAAGTTAACCGCACACATACATACCAAAGTGAATAACTGAAACCCCACAATGTTGCCCTGATTGACTAGTAGCTGCTTGCTCTGAACACAACCTTATTAGACTGTACTCTTTCTCTGAGTGTGAATAAAATCCATCAATAGCCTTCATGGAAAAATACTTTTAGAATTGTGTTTGGTTAAGGCTCCTTTTTTTTTTTTTTTGTACTCTTATTAAATCTATGAGTAAATAACCGCATTAGCTTCGTTTGCGTTTTCAATATCAGCAAGTACTGTACTGTCCAAACCTTTCCATCTCCTATGTTTACTGCTTTCCTTTGGTCATTCTACCTCCAAATGACTAGCCAGCTCCGTTCCCTTCTACATGTTTGCCTTATTCTTCTGCCGTGCTTCCTCTGTAACGTCTCAGCCGAGCCCTCTGCTTTCTATAGTGCTTTCCTTCTAGACTGTTGTCCATTTAAGACATAGAAATGGTTCCTGCACCCTGCACTGTCTGAAACCTATTAGTGGCTTTTGATTGTATACCAAATGACTAAGGCCAAGAGTGCTCCGCTGATATTTGCAGCTGGCCTGTGGGCTCATGAAGCTCTAGGGAATCCAGATCCTCAGGTGTCCCAGCTACACCTCTTGTCTCTCAGGGAGCTCTAGCTCTTGTCCCTCCCTCTAAATAACTCTGCCATCTTTCTGTCCTAGTGCCTTAAGCATTTTCTGTCCAACATCTTACTTTTGTTGTTGTTGTCTATTTGATTTATCTATTGTCTGTGTACTGGAGGACTGTGTCCTATAAGGTTGGGAATTTTGGCTCACCAATCTCCATAGCCTTCATGCTGTACTTGATAAAATAGAAAGCTTTCAGTAAATAATGGCTTGTTGGATGAATTCATGAATGAAGCTACTGCCCTACTCAGTAGATAACACTTTCATTTTACTTGATTCTGGCAAAGAAATATAGACACCCACATACATTTTAGGTGGAAATAGGAAGCATTGGATTATACACTTACTGAATGAAAGTCACATTCTTCTCTATGATAAAAAAAAATGTCCAATGCTAAAATGTGAATGTGTGTGTGTATGTTTGAGGGAGATGGTCATAGGGGACATGGGGATGGGATGAGAGACAACAGTATCATCAGTGCACCACTGGAGCCGAAAAGCCAAGGTTTGAGTGCTGTGGTTCCTAGCTTTTGGCTTCACACGCATTAGCAAGTGGTTAATCCTCTCTGATCTCAGTGGGTTTCTCTGAGATTTTCAGAGACTGGCTCCATTGTCATAATGCCCTGTACCACATAAATCAGATGGTAGATGTCACCAAAGATCAACAGAACAAATGGATGCTCTGGGATGGGAGGCAAATGGGGTCAAGGAGGGGAAAGAGAGCATGTGGTGACTGCCTGAAAGGAGTCGGTGACATCCTCCAAGGGACATCTGCTCACTGTAATTGTTTACAAGCACTGGGGAGTAAATGAGGGCACATTTAAGATGGAAGTCAACTGACCTTCAGTGACACCGGCTGGTCTTCACCTTGAGCACTCACAAACAGGTGAGTATTTGAGATTTTTAGAGCAACAGGATATTTAGAGTCATCTCCTGATGAGTAGGCATACATGTCAAACTTCACTGCCAAAGAAAGAGCCAGAAAGAAAGTAAATCCACTATTATTTATATAAAAAAAGAGTTTAGACAGAGGTGTGTGTGTGTGTGTGTGTGTGTGTGTGTGTGTGTGTGTGTGTGTGAGATTAGGCCGCCAACAATGTTGTAAATGAATACACCATATTGGTTTGTGGAGATCAGGAGTGGGGCTTTATATTATTGTAGCCTTTACAATGCTACTGGATGGGTAAATAATGCTGTTAAAGTTTTCTATGTCAGTAGAAATGCTGAAGGACCAATTTCCTGCTGAATTTTTCTAGTTCTAATAGTGGAATAAGACTTTGGCATTTGTTGGCTTCTGAGTTCCTAATAACTTGGAATGGAGTGATTTAAGAAGTCCTGTCAACACCCCCCCACCCCCACATCTAGCAAAGTAACATGGCTGACTGCTCTAGTATCTCTAGAAAAGTAAATAATAGGAATTATAGGGACAGCAATTGTGGTCAATGACAGAGCACTTGCTTAGTATGGGTTTGATCTCTTGCACCAAAAAGCAAGTGTGAGGCGGCTAGAAAATATGACTACTAAGTCAATATATGGGGGAAATCATGTGAGATAAGTATGAAATAGAAAACACAATTGTTTGCAAATGTCATAAGTAGAAAGCACTTTAACTGAAAGTGTGCACAGTTTCTCTAGTCAGAAAGAACCCTGCCTGCTTCTTTGTTGTTTCTGTGGGTCTTTGAAAACAATTTTGTATATTGATGATGCATTCTGTATCTAAAACAGGTTTATTATGGAAACTGGATCTGTGTAACAGGAAATTTTGGGCACTGAATTTCATCCTTCAGATCTTATGGCAGTTAAGGGCTGTTTGGCTTTCCTGTTACATTACCAAAGTTAAGAAAGTTCATCCTAGAAGAATGCTCGCTGTAGTTCTGATCATCAGGCTTCCTGACACATACTGACTGACTAGTCCTTGTTAGTGTCTGGGTAAATCTGGATAAGTCATTCAATATTTGTGATGCTCAGTTTTCTCTTCTTGGTTTTTTGAGACAGGGTTTCACTGTGTAGCCCGGCTATCCTGGAGCTTGCTCTGTAGACCAGGCTGGCCTCAAATTCATCTGCCTCTGCCTCCTGAGTGCTGAGATTAGAAGAGGGAGGTCATGATGAGAACATACGTAAGCACCAAGGAGAAGGTGCATCAGAAAGCTCTCAGTTCCAAGTAGTGAGCTCAGGTAAGGGACTGCTCTTTGGTGGAACTCATATTCTGGGATTCTCTGTAGGGAGTGGAATTCTTCATTCTATTCTAGAAGAATTGTGCAAAGGCAGGAATGTAGATACGTTTGTGCTCTAAAAGAAGCAAAGAAATTCAAAGAGGTGAAGAGTGATAGGTGGTCATTTACCTTCATGTTGCAGGTCAGTTAGTGAAGCAGCTTTGAGATGCACATTGTCGGCGTCCCGATAGATATTCTGATTGAGGGAATCATTCATTACAAACTCCTGCTTGACAAGTCTGATCAGTTTGTATCTCACGTCATTCTGGAAGGTGTGAGCTGCTGATCGTGGCTGGATGGTTTCTAAAATCATTATCACAAGTTCAGGTCATTGCCTAGTTATAAACATAGATGATGTACACATACCACTGCAAGCATAAGGCATAGCTCTGAGAAAGACTTTAGGCATAGCCAATCCAGGTGGAACAGCTAGAGTTGAAATCAATCAGCAGAAGGCTTGATTTGAGCTAGGGCTGTATTGGTCTTTCTGTTTTTCCTTCTTTCCTTCCTTCCTTCCTTCCTTCCTTCCTTCCTTCCTTCCTTCCTTCTCTTTATTTTTTAAAGAAAGTTTTTTAAAAACTTTAACATTTTTGCTAGCCATTTTATTTTCTTTTATTCTATTTGGGGTCTCATTATAAAGCTATGGCTGGTTTGGAATTCACTCCATAGACAAGAATAGTCTTGAACTCACAGAGATTCTCCTGCCTCTGCCTTCCACTGGGATTAAAAGTATGAACCCCCAAGCCTGGCCCTGTTAGCAGGTTTCCAAGTGACAAGGAAGACTACCAGTATTCTCAATCTGTTTTCAGATGGATGTATGCCATGATAAAAGTAAAGATGTTAAGAATTGTATACCACAATGATATGTCACCATATTTATAAACAATACATATGTTACATATATATGCATATACTTACATTTTGTTTTATTGTAAAATCTAGGCAGAGAGGTGTTGTTGTCTAGAGGTCTTATATTAACTTGAGTACTTGGTTTATGTTTCTCGTGAAGGAATGTATAGCAAAGACATGAGAAACCCAGGGTTTTTATAGTCAGAGTGGATTGAATTAGCTATGAAGGATCCCCACGTAGAGATCGAGCCTCATTTCCTCAGATGTGAAAGGAGAGTAGAGGGTTGTTTTGGAGCTTAGAGAAAATGTAGCCATTAATACATCAGCAGTGCTAGCAGCATTTACAAAGGCTATGGGAATAATAACAATAGTTGACATTTCCTGGGTGGTGATGTCACGCTAGGCATTCTTCTAGTCTAAGTGTTTTGAAGTATTGGCTTATTTAATCTTTACGGGAACCCAATGAGCTGTAAGACTTGGTCATCCCTATTCATAGTATAGGGAACTGAAGCCCAGAGAAATTAAGGGACATGACTAACAAGGTGGCAGCTAGTAGAGGTCATAAGCTAATAGACCATGACTTCTTTTTCTCCAACTAAAAACCTTTACATGACCTTAACAATACAGCCAAGAAAGGAGGCCTTGAGCGAGTGTTCTAGATTCAGGCTAGAATCCATCTCACTCCTCTGGAGAAGAGCAGCATTTACTTTTTTGTTATAGTTATTGAGCTAATGTTTGCTTGCTTATTTTTGTTCCAGGCTTTATTTTCTTTCCACTCCATTGTCACCATTTACTTAAAACTGAAAAAATTCAAACTTGAGTTTTACCCCGTTACCTTCTAAATTATGGGTTATGGCCTCCAAGTCATCTTCAGCAAAGGCCTGATTGAAACTCAGCCGTCTCTTCTTCAGAATCTTCCCTTCATTTGATGTTGCTGACACCATCACCAGACTCTCTTTGAAGGTGAAGCTGGACATCTTTGATGTTTCAGAGGTTCTCAGAGATACAAATTTCTCCGTGCAATTCTCATGAAATGAGCCATAGCTTGCATCATAGAAGGATTTCTATGAGGAGGCAAAGTGGAACCTGAGAGGTAATCTATGACCTTGAGATGAGACTCTTTAGTAGGATCTGTAGCCTACAGACTTGCTGAGAGGGATCTCCATTATAGCTGAGTGTAACCAACCTGTGCACCATCCCTCCCTCCCTTTCTCACCCTCCCACTGTCCTCCCTACCCTCCCCTCCCCATTCCATTCCTTCTTTTTTCCTTGCTTAGAGTTCCCTGAAACCATGTGATTTGGGGGAGGGAGCCTTTTTAGCCCATCTTTAGGCTAAAAAAAAATTAAGCATTTTAATGAAATAGGTTAATATGTGATCCTGGTAAGTCAGATCCTTCCATCAAGAGGTCTGACATCTACTCGAGAGTGCTCAAAATATTTTAGAAAATACATTTGGCCTTCTGGATTGCCTGCCAGCATTCTCAAATTTAACCAACCTTAAGATTCAGAATATTTTCTAAAAATAAGTGACATCTTTACTGAACATGTGCATTTTGGTCATTATTTCCTAAACAATATAATCATTGCTTCATAAGCATAATGTTTATTCCCATAGCATCTGCATTGTGGCAGGTATTGTTAAGTCACCTAGATAGGATTTAAAGTCATCTGAGAATACATGCATACTTTATACAAATAGAAGGTCATTTAGTATATGGGACTTGAGCATCTACAGAAGGTGGTCTCCCTTGATTCCAAGCCCCCAAGGATGCCTTTGGTATGGCTGTTCTTCTGGAAACAGCTTTTAAAGCTATTATCGCATATACACAAAGTAATAGAACTTGGTTAGTCTGTGTAACATTTTCTCTTTCTCTTGGCTAGCCAGCTTCTTGTACCTCAGCTCTGTGGGCTATTGGGCTATCTCCAGCCTCCATGTCTTAGGAACAGACCCAAGGCGAGGCAGAATGAAGCAACTGGCTAAGGATGACAAAATCAACATTTGGAAGGAACCTGGCTCAGAAGTTCTTAGGACTTCAGATAGCTTTCTGTTATGGAAGAGCCAGTGACCATAAAGAATGCCAGTTAACTACAAGTATAAAGAGGCAAGTGGTCTCATTTATAATGAATTTTAGACCTTTAGTGAGAGTGAAACAAAAATGTAATAATCAACCCTCATTGTGCTTTTCTGGTAGAGGAACTAGTGTGGAGAGAAACAAAGAAAGAAAAAAAGAAAGGAAAAATCCAGATATGTAAGAATGCTAAACATGTGCTTACCTGATTCAGAGACAGATGGTCAATGGCAGAACCGTATTCTTCATTTTCGCTGTGAAAAACATATAATGAGACTGTACTTTTGTCCATTATTTTACTATGGTCAGTGGGGATCAGATTTTGATGGGCCACATTTTCCTTGGGTAACACAGACAACATTCCTGAATACCGATTTAGGCACAGGCACTATTGAGTTCAAATGCTCTAACACAGTAATAGCTTTTAGTGTTTAAGAGCTGTTCTTCAAAGAACTTGATTCCTGTCAGGATTAAGAATCAGCTCTACAGTAACAGAGCACACACACACACACACACACACACACACACACACACACACACACTCATTACTCTTTGAAAAGTTAAAGACTTTAACACATTCATGTCAACACACATAATTCATTTATCACTGATTTGGAATTAGTAATTATTAGCAGAGCTTTGTGCTTTATCTATAACAATTAGGCACGACTAATGAACCAAAGAGCCTTAACTGAACTTCAGGGAAGACTTAAGCTTCTTAAGAGAAAGGAAAAAAAAAAAACAAAAAAACAAAACACAAAACTTTTGAAGCATCACAGACATGCTTTGTCATACACTGTTTTCATGTACTCACTAAAACAGATCTAACATTTAACATTTTGTAGCCTCATTAGCATTAACATTAATTGCAAACAAGAACATCATGTTAAGAATGTTCTGGGATTTCAACTCTCTGCTCATTTATCTTCTGTATCACGGCACAGTTTGACTGTGAGTGCAAGTTCATGTGCCCAAAAGCCATTTCCTCCTCTTGACTGGAAACAGGTTCTTCTGAGAATGGATTCTCTCTCAAACAGTTCATTAAACCCACAGTTGTATCAGAGCACACAAACTCTAGCATGCCTAAGTTTGTGTTGATATAAACTTGTAGGATTCAGTATACCTCAAAATATTTTCTGCAATCTCCATTTTTCTGCCAATTTTTCATTTTAGTATGCTGGATTCCTGGTCTTTCTTGGTCTTGCCTGGCCCTTCCTGGACTTCAGGGTCAATGTATATCTCTATAGCCACTGCCACCCTGGCCCCTGGCTGGTCACTTTAACTCTTAGTTAGATTCAAGGAAACTTTGAGCTCCTCATTGAATCACAAAAGGAAGACTGTGTTTCTTACCTATAACAGTTCTTTAGGTCCTCAAACAAGTCAGGAACTTTGGCCATCTTGATATCTACAAAAGAACAACAGTGGCTGTCAGCAGCGTCCACGTCTGAATCTTGTGCTCGCAAGGGCAGTGACCCTGCTTTGCTCTTCTTGAGAAACTCCAGTGAGTGACTTATCACAAGGCAAGCATTTCCTGTATTTTTCTTCGTACTCTCCTACATTATTTGTGTATGCTTTGGTCTCCTCTACTAGCTTGTACATTTGTTTTAGAACATTTTCTCTGTCTTGGTATTCTTTATGTCTAGTCCATTGTATTACACATAATAGGCATTCAATGAAAGGTGGGTAGAAGAAGAAAAAAAACTAAAACCACCCGAGTGAGGTATCTGCCTTATATAGAAGCAAGGGAGATACAGAATGGGAACCTGCTCTCTCTCCCTTTTGTCAGTAGATATTTCTTATTTCCAGGATAAGATTCAGCTGTACTGATGGATTCTCTCACAGGAATCCTGCTCAGCTCCCCCTCAGTTCCCTATTACTAGAAAGAGATATCCTTTCTGAAATCTGTGGTTCCAAATCAGGAAACAAGAAGAAACAAGAACAGACTGTAGCCTTACAGAAGGTGCCTTGAGAGAGGACAGTCAAGGAGCAACAAAATACAATTTTCATAGCCTTAGATATGATAAGGACAATACCTTTGCTAATTCAAGCGCCAATGAGGTGACTCCTCTCTGCCTTGGAGACTTACTCTGAGTCAGGCTTCTCTGTCTTTTATAGTCTTCCTCAAGTAGGTGTGGACATGAATGTGTCACGGGGAATTTACAGATACTTTGTATCTATGCTCATTCTGCTTGATACCAGGGAGAAGGTAATAATGTTGCTTGCAAAGGTTCCACAGGCTGTTGACTTACTCCATTTATTTATCACTTGCTCCATGTGCTTATAAACATGTAGTTTTCCAAAAATGGAAGAGCAGCAGGAAGCTCACCAAGATTGGAAAACGTTTAATGGAAGAGGAAGGAAGAAATACTCAAATCAGAACGATAAACTGAACAGGATGGGAACTTGCTCCATAGCTGTACTTTGTGTTTTGACCTAATTTGCTTATTGTGCCTCAGAACTGCATATGGATGGGCAGGATAATTGGCAGCTAAGACATGACATTTGAGGGAAAATGAGCTTCTCCCCTTCTCTCTGAAGGGGAAGATTTGTTTGAAGAAGTGAGCAGTCTGAGGATGGAACAACAGTCTTATGGTTAGAGGGTGGAGGACATAAAATGACATTGACCATATAGATCTGGCTCCTCTTACTTCTCTGAATAATGTCAGCACCTAAACAGAGATGACAGCTTCGAAAGAGAGCTCTCAGCCTCCCCCATGTTACGGCAAAGTGACCCTGTCCCACTCTCTAAAGACAAAGTCTAGTTTTCCTAAAAGGATACATCAGAGCTGATCAAAGGATAGCTGCCCACTTATGGAGGCAGGAACAAAGGCCCAGCCAGGATAGAGGCCGTGGAACAGGAAGGTATGGATTCTTACATGGAATTGGCATTGCCTGATTAGAGGCATCTTCTGTGCCCACTCTAGGGGGTAGGATACCAGACTCTCAGCGAATCAGTGGTTCAGCTTTTCTAGTTGGCATAAGCCACATAAATTTTAAATAAAGGAAGTGGGTGGTAGACAAGGAAAGAACAAAAATGGCAAAGAGGGAAAAGCAAGCCACTGAAACATGGAATTAAAAAAAAGAAACAAAACCATGGGGCTAGGAGTAAAGTAGCTTATGTAAGTTGGATGTAGCATTCCCTCTGGTCCTGTTTAACCATAAGGAGTGGAGCTATTTAGATGTTCATTGGTTCTACTGCATATTTAAAATCTCCAATTCCAATTCTGCTGCCCAGTCTATTTCTCCTTGTGTTGTATTTATAAACAAAAGTCAAAGATGAGTGGTGTCGTAAGCAAAGGCAGTATAAGCACAGAAACAGGCTGGAGCCAAAGTTAAAGTGGGTGTCTCTAAACAGCTCTGACGGCAGTCAGCCAGCTCTACAGCTCTGCTCATCCTAGTTTCCCTTTAGGCAACACAGATATGTTAATCTTCTGCCTGTAGGACATCTTGTGAGGATAATCACTAAGAAACAATTGCAAGGTGTGTTGTGAATGTGGGCTGCTATGGAGGTGCAATACACACTAATGATGGCTTCAGTCACTTGAGAGTCCGTGGAGTCGTCACCACGATGCTTTACTTCACAGCAGAAAATAGAGGTCTTATGAAAACAGGGCTTTGAAAACTTCAGAAGGGAAGACATTTTCAAGTGAAGGCCACTACTGAGGCCCCAAAGCTGTCTGGTTTCTGAGAACAATGCAGAGTGCCTCTTTGGCAATCTGGGAAACACCCTGGTTCTACCATTTGCAGCAACACTCAGCCCAGCTCCATCTTCATTCCTGTGCTGTAGAGAATTCCCCAGATGAGCGTTTGGTTGAGAAACAGCCAATTTAGGTCAGTGTCTCTCTCAAGCTACTCTTTCACATGCCCTTCTTGGAAAGTGGTTTTAAGGGGAAAAGACAGGGCAGAAGGGTCAGAGTGAGAGTTCTGCAACTTTTTTTGGTGGGGAGCTTACTTTCCTGTGAGTTTACCAAAAATGTCTAAACCAACTCTTTTAGGAAAGGGAGAGAGGAATGCATTGGGTAGGGCTCTACTAAGCTCAATGTATTTGGCTCAGGGCTCCTAAACAATTCAGAAAAAATATTGTGCGCTTATTCTGTTCCATAGTCTTTGCTGTACATTAATATTTTCCTTTCAGGAGCCACAAAATTAAACATGCAAGATGAAATGATGTGTGTCAGAAGGTGACTGGATATGCTTTGCAAGCCCAGATGTTATGGCTCCAAAGGATGTGTCTTTTTCTCTCTACTTCTCTTCATTCTTTCATCTGATCCTTCTTTTCTCCCTCTGTCTTTCATTCTCACTCTGCATCCGAGTCTGCATCAAACTCTGGCTCCTCCTGCTTCAGCCTTCTGAGTGCTGTGATTATAGGCCCAGCTGTGCACTTATCCTAACAATCCTAAGAACCCTGGTGAGGCTTTTCATGTGACAATTGCCTTATGGTTTGCAAAGTGCTCTCACTCCAACCTCCAACTGCATATACTCGATGTGGCTACTCTTATCTCCTTTTATGTCTGAAGACCTTGGAAGAAGGAAATGCCAACTGAAAGTCACAGAAACTGAGTTGCAGTCTTAGACTGCACTTGAAACTCAGGATTCAGATTCTAGGTCAGATCTCGTTTGCAGTCTGAATCCTAGAATGCTTCATCACCAACACTGTCTTTGCTGAAGTCTTTAAGGTCTTCCTCACCTCAGATAACCTGTTGTATAATAATCCTAGGATTTTATAAAAATAAAAGATAGTCTGGGGATTGCTAAAGAGATTGCTGGAAGAGCTAGGGGACCAGATTTCCACAACCCACGTAATTGCTGAGTGACCACTGTGGTCTCCTTGTAATTCCAGCATCAGAAAGTAGACCCAGGGAGTCTGGAGCATTCTGGAGAGTTAGACTAACCATATCTGCAAGCTCTGGGTTGCACTAAGAGACAAGCAAAAACAACCGCCCCAAAGATCAGAAAGGTTTTTTCTTTTCTGTCTTCTAGTGAAATCTTTTATTCTGTGATGTCCTGAATCCAGAAGGGAGGCCACCAATGGGATGAGTGCTGATTGGCAGTGGAGTATGGCTGTGAACTCTGGCCATGGTCTTTCCATTGTACCCTGAAGATGGGAAACATTTGTGAACATCTTCAGGATCAACTTTAAAATTAGCACATGATAACTGGATATGAAAGAAATCACCTGAATGCAGAGAGAAGCACAACTAAATTATCTGGGGGAAATTTGGCCCTCTGTGTCCCTGGGTTCTGCATTCCTAGACTGAACCAACTATAGGTAGAAATAGGTGGGGAGGGAGTCGGGGAGAGAAGTATCTGTATTGAATTTGTGCAGTCTTTTTCTTGTCATTATGCCGTAAACAATGCGGAATAATGGCTGTTTACAAAGTTTACACTGTTGGGTGTTATAAGGGATATAGAAATGATTCAAGGCATACAGGGGCTATGTATAGGTTATGTGAGCACAGAGCTATGTTCTTTCATTTACCGAGTTTGGAATAGAGATCCTGGAACTACCTACTCACTTGAGGACCTCAAGGGAAAGGCATTTCTCTTCAGGTGATATGAAGCCTCTTTAGAGGAGTGAAACATGAAGAGACAGGTGAGTGTTCCATCTCTATTCATGCCCTACTTAGTTTTAAACTGCCTTTTCATTCCATGACAGCTAGGAAGGGGAAAAGGATGTCCATAACACCCTATTAGCCTCCAGGTTTTACAATATAGTACCTCATTTAATCCTCTCTTCAGACCAGAGAGGTAGGTAATCCTATCACATTTTACAGAAGAGGAAGTAAAGTTCTGACAAAGTTATGTAACCAGCCTGAGGTTGCAAGGTTAAGCTGCTTGCAGAAATGGGATTCAGACAAAGTCTACACTCAACCGCAAGGCTGTCTCTCTTGTCTTAATATAATCTCTCTCTCCGTCTCTGTCTCTCTCTCTCTCTACACACACACACACACACACACACACACACACACTTTCTAGTTCTCTTTTAAATTTCTCTTTCTATGTTGTCTTGGTCTGCAGGAAGTCCTAGGTTTGTTTGTTACAGGAGTCTGTGCTTGGGAGACCACCTGTTTCAAACTCCCATAAAGGAGCTTAGGCTTACATGGAGACTTCATATGAGAGCAGGAAGTGAAATTAAAAACTCCGCTCTTGATTTCGCCTCACAGTATCCTACTTCTGAAGGACCGAGGCTCTTCAGCCAAGTGGGGAAAGATAAGTAATTTCTCCTGTGGCTTCTTACTCTTAAAAAGGACTTACAGGGCTGGGACTGTAGCTCAGCAAAATGCACGAAGCCCTGAGTCTGATTCCTAGCACTGAAAAACATGGGTGTGGTGGTAAATGCCTGTAATTCTAGCACTGGGGAGGTGGAGGCAGGAGGATCAAGAGATCTTTTGCTACA